GGAGCAGTTAATTACATCATCTCAGAGACACACCAGGCTTGGAATCTCAGTTCAAGAGTTTACTTTCTGTGTTGGAGGCCGGAATGGTACCAAGTGTTAGACCCACGGGGTCAGACCAGACCGGGTTAGGCAACCTCAGTACCTGAGTTCTGGCTAAGAAAAAATCCAGAGCCAAGACTCAAAATATAAGCAAAAACTTAATAAGAAAGTCACAAAGGTAGAAGAAATGAGCTGTAGAAGAAATGGGCTCAGGAAACAAGTTACAGAGGCAAAAGAAGGGCTCTTGAAACTTGGGAAACAAAGGAGAGGGTAAAGCTCCTGGGGGGGGGGGGAGGTAGGGGGAGAAAGAAGGGGAGGAGACAGGAAAGGCTAGCTGGGTCCTCTGTCCGAAGGGCTTTTAAGGGTGGAAATGTCAGGGGAGGTCCCAGAACAGAATCTCAGTAGATTATTCATCAGTCCTGGTCTCTGAATGGCACCAGGCAGGGGGTAGTTAGTGCAGCTGGCCCTAATGTCTGCAGTGGCATCACTTCCCTGGTTTTCCTACTTTTCTGGCCCTGGAGCTGAAATCCAACCAAGGCCTAGATGTATATAACATGGCTCAGAACTTCATTGTCCTGGGGGCTTAATGCTTAAGGGCTGTTCTTCACTCCCATCTTCTTTCCCTCTCTAGGAGTAGCTAACCCCATGACTAGCAACATGCCATGGGAAGAAAGGTCAGGGGAGGGCCCGAACCATCTGACCAGGGCTGTGAAAGGTCAGGAAGTCTAAACCACATTACCTGATGGGGCGGGGGGGTGGGGGGAGGAGATAAGTTATTACTGGGTGAGGTCCTTGGGTCTTTGTTTTCCCAGTTTTGCTTGATGCTGGGCACCAAGGGCTTTCCTTCTTGGTGAACTTCTGTTTCTGCCTATCTTCCTTGCTTTGCTCATGTCTACCTGCCTACCACACCTGTATGATTTTTAACAAGTACTCAACCTTGCCGATACCAGTTTGGCTCAGTGGATGGAGCATCGGTCTGTGGACTGAAAGGTCCCAGGTTCGATTCCGGTCAAGGGCATGTACCTTGGTTTCGGGCACATCCCCACTGGGGGGTGTACAAGAGGCAGCTGATCGATGATTCTCTCTTATTGATGTTTCTAACTCTCTATCCCTTTCTCTTCCGCTCTAAAAAAATCAATAAAGTATATTAAAAAAAAAAGTTCTCAACCTGTTTGAGCCTCAGTTCTTCCACCTCCAAAATGGGCCAATGGTATCTACTGCTTAGGTTATTGTTAAGGAGCTGTGCGCTGTGCAACCATAGGGAGTGCTATAACGGAAGTGGCATCAATAGGAGTTGGGTAACACAGCAATGCTGGTACTTGTGAGTATTAGACATAATGACACATGTAAAGAATTCAGCATGGTGTCTGGGATAGTGTTTAAGAATGGGACCTTGTGTTATTCTCTCAGGCACTCAGTTGTCATTTGCTGTTGTGCTATTTTGAAATTTGCTTCTAAGAAGGAAAATAGTATGGGGCACAGAAAACACAATATTCAGAGACTTGGCAGCAAGAAAGTGTTTTCCTATTCAGCAAATGAGACTTTCCATATTCTAGAACTCAGCAGCTATCTCCTAAATGATCAGAACAGCCTATTGAGGGGTTTGGGCTTGTCTTCAGGGCAATAAGCAAGCAATGAAGAGCTTTAAGGGGAGCGTGAGAGTCAGACCTGCACGTTAGGCAGTTCATTTTGGCTGAAATGGGAAGAAAGTGATGATGATATTTGGCAGCAATTGGAAGGCAGTGGTTAACCATAGTCTCAGAGGCAGGCCCGGGTTTGAATCTCTGTCTGGTGTTTATTCTCTCTTTTCTGTATCACTCTCTGAGCAGCCACTCATCCTCCCTGATCCTTACAGGCTCTTAATTCATTTTGCTTGCAAATCTACCAGTGTGTCTTTCTCCTTCTTAAACTTGAGATCTCTACTGTATCATTTTTATACCTGCCAGACATTGAGATTCTTTATGAAACAGATTTTTTTTATATATATAATGGTCAAAAGCTGGTCTTTTTGTTTCTACCCTTGTCCTTATAGTCCTTCTCCACTCAACAGCAGAGAGATCTTTTTTAAAAGGAAAATCATCTCATACTGTACTTGTGATCAGAACCTCCCTGGGATTTCCATCTTCCTCACAGTCAAAGTCAGCGCCTTGCAGTGGCGTTAGTGCCCCTAATGGTCCATCCCCACGGAGCTCCCATCCCCGAGCCTTGCTCCCTCCGCTCATTGCTCTCTCGTCACACTGGTTTCTCTGTGGCTCCTTAGATTATGCGAAGCACAGTTCCATTCATCAGGGTCTTGGCACTTACCTGGAATTCTCTTCTTGCAGATATGCATCTACAAGGCTTGGTCCCTTGCTTCTTTCAGGAATTTGCTCAACTGTGCCCTTGTCAGAAAGACTTTCTTTACCATCCAGTATAAGTCATCCATGTCATATGTGTTCTCGTTCTCTCTCTCTCTCTCTCTCTCTCTCTCTCTCTCTCTCTCTCACACACACACACACACACACACACACACACACACACTCCTGTCCCCTTATGTTCTCCTCATTCCACTACAACACTTCTCCCCATCTGACATTTGCATTTGTTTGTTTCCATCCATTGGAATATAAGGTCTGTGAGGACCGATACTTTTTTTTTTTTTTAATTCATTGAGCAATTCTTGGGACCTAGAAGAGAGTCTAACAGGTCATTCTGAAATACCTATTAATATTTGTGGAATAAAATGGCTGCATAAGGGAGTTAAAACTAGACCTTCTACCACTCTTGCAGCTGGTTCAATGTCACCTTGTTTTAAGAGATCCTACAACCCACTCAAGCCCTGTCATGTCTGAACAAGCAGCCACAGTGACCATGAACTTTTGCGTATTCTGAACATATGCTTCTATTTTTCTGCCTTTTACTCAGAATGGAAATCTACCACCACAACCCTCTGTTGTGTCTTCTTCAGTGGGGGGAAAATGTCAGAGCTTCTCTCCAGACAGTGATGAGCTACAAAGCTGCTTTAAGTGATGGTGGGTGGGCTCTCTGAAGGTCTGTAAGAATGTGCTGGACGCTGGTGCAGTTTCCAGTGTAAGCCATCAGGAGCTAACTCACATGGGCCAGAGAAGGCAGGTGAATGGGGAGGGGGAGGGGGTAGACTCAGACAGCCTGAGGCTATGAAAGGCTCTAATCCGGCTCCACTACGAACTTTTTATGAGGCCACAAGGCTGTGTTCTGACTCAGGACCCTTCCTGTCACCACGTTGCCTGCTGTCATAACTGACCTTCCGGACCAAAGTTACCCTGACTCCTCTATCCCACCAAGCCCCGGAGGCAGAGGTGATGTAAGGTCCGAGCTGTGCGCCCAAACGGCTGGTGAATGTAGAGCTGTGGTGGCTCAGTCCACCGCTTTGCTTTGCTTTCCAAGCTTTGCGCTGCTCGGTGACTCTGTTGCCATAATCCTAATTGCCTGCAGCCCTTCATCATAAGTCACTTTGTGGTCACTGTCATCCTGCCACATGAGCTCACTGAGATGGAATGATCGCTCCTGTGCTTTTTGGTCACTTGAACCCTCAATAGAACCGAGATGTGTTTTAGAAGGATCATGGAAAGTATGACATCAACACGGAGAAGGAACACTTTATGGCTGGTAACGCTGATTTCACAGCCTGCCAGGCAAGAGTCTTACACACACCACCAATCTCGGGCCTGCGTGTCTCCCTTTCCTGTTGCGGACAGCCTGCGGAGTAGCTAGCCAGATCCCTGCGCAGATGTGAAGAGCTGTGCTGGTAGAACCCTCTGCCCAGCTGCTAATGCATCAGGAGACCTGGGCTTGTGAAAATTAGGCGGAAATGTGCTCTCATCAAACATGCTTTTTAAAAACTGTACTCAATGTGTGGAAATATTGCATTAGAGCAGAATTTCCCCCCTCAAGTATGAAGAACACAGACCTTTGATTGCAGGCAAGCGTGAAGATTTTTCTGTGTTTCCAAGTGGAAGGGGTTCTCCAGAGTTTTAAGACTATCACCAGGCCCTGTTTGGTAGGATTTTTAAAGTCTGAACTTCATCATTTTTACTTTTTTGTGGTCTTTTTTTCTTAGAGTTAGTTAGGTTTATAAAATTAGCAAAATCTTCCATAGTAGTTCCTAACCCCACTTTACAAAGGATTGGAAAAACATCAAATAATGTTAATGGAAGGAGAGGTGACTTAAGAAATAATATTCCTGACCCTTATCACCTCATCCATGGCACCTCAGGACCGCAACTAAAGCATCAATCTTAATAAGGTGATTTTGGCAAGGAGACATTTTCTGGAAGGTGATTGTACTAACCAAAATTTATTTTTTTTTTATTTTTTTTTTTTAAATATATTTTTATTGATTTTGAACAGAGAGGAAGGGAGAGAGAGATAGAGAGTTAGAAACATCGATGAGAGAGAGACATCGATCAGCTGCCTCTTGCACACCCCCTACTGGGGATATGCCCGCAACCAAGGTACATGCCCTTGACCGGAATCGAACCCGGGACCCTTCAGTCCCCAAGCCGACGCTCTATCCATTGAGCCAAACCGGTCTTGGCCTAACCAAAATTTAAAAGACAATCTGCTTTAGCAACAAGGAGAAAATTATTTAATGCTTAAGAAGTTTGTTGTGTTTTTTGAATTGGCTGTTAGCATGCATAAATATGCATATAGCAATGCAAGGCTATAATCGAACTGCTCTTTTCCATTAAGACAACTGTGTGCATTGCTCAGTGAAGGGGGACTGCATGTAGAAAATCCATAGGCAGAGACAGTGAGTTGTAAATTTTACTTAATCCTCGATGAGTTCTTAGAATAATGATTCACCACAGATGGTGGGATGGTAAGGTATAAGCAAATCATTGGTAAGATTGATAAAAATAAGTAATTAGTCATACTTTGGATCTGGCTCTAATGATGTGATTCGTTTTCCTACCCAACTCCCATCTTATTTCTACCCGTAGGTTGGGATAGTTGGAAGTCAGCTGTTGGACAACATGCTGCAAGCAAGCCTCTCACCCACCTTCTCGCTGGGATTTCACCTGTTAGTCATCGTGGCTGTCTTATTTTCCCACGTGGACCATATAAGCGCCGAGTCAGAAATGGAAGGAGAAGGCAATGTAACAAACGAGTGCACCGGTTCATATTACTGTAAGAAAGGGGTGATCTTACCCATCTGGGAGCCCCAAGACCCTTCTTTTGGGGACAAAATCGCGAGGGCCACTGTGTACTTTGTGGCCATGGTCTACATGTTCCTTGGAGTCTCCATCATCGCCGACCGGTTCATGTCCTCCATCGAAGTCATCACCTCTCAAGAAAAGGAAATCACCATCAAGAAGCCCAACGGAGAGACCACCAAGACAACCGTAAGGATCTGGAACGAGACGGTGTCCAACCTGACCTTGATGGCCCTGGGCTCTTCTGCTCCAGAGATCCTCCTCTCGGTCATTGAAGTGTGTGGCCACGACTTCAATGCTGGAGACCTAGGTCCCAGCACCATCGTGGGGAGTGCTGCGTTCAACATGTTCATCATCATCGCGCTGTGTGTCTACGTGGTCCCAGATGGGGAGACCAGGAAGATCAAGCACCTGCGTGTGTTCTTCGTGACGGCGGCCTGGAGCATCTTTGCCTACACCTGGCTTTACATCATCCTGTCGGTCATCTCCCCTGGGGTGGTGGAGGTCTGGGAAGGGTTGCTCACGTTCTTCTTCTTCCCCATCTGTGTTGTGTTCGCTTGGGTAGCCGACAGGAGGCTTCTGTTCTACAAGTACGTCTACAAGAGGTACCGGGCTGGCAAGCAGAGGGGGATGATCATTGAACACGAAGGAGACAGGCCATCCTCCAAGACTGAGATCGAAATGGATGGGAAAGTGGTCAATTCCCACGTGGACAACTTCCTAGACGGCGCTCTGGTTCTGGAGGTGGACGAGAGGGACCAGGACGATGAGGAGGCGAGGCGAGAGATGGCTAGGATCCTGAAGGAGCTCAAGCAGAAGCATCCCGATAAAGAAATAGAGCAATTAATAGAACTAGCCAACTACCAAGTCCTGAGTCAGCAGCAAAAGAGTAGAGCCTTCTACCGGATTCAAGCCACTCGCCTGATGACCGGGGCGGGCAACATCTTAAAGAGGCACGCAGCGGACCAGGCCAGGAAGGCCGTCAGCATGCACGAGGTCAACACGGAAGTGGCTGAAACTGACCCTGTCAGTAAGATCTTCTTTGAGCAAGGGACATACCAGTGTCTGGAGAACTGCGGCACGGTGGCCCTGACCATCATCCGCAGAGGTGGCGACCTGACCAACACCGTGTTTGTCGACTTCAGAACCGAGGATGGCACAGCCAACGCCGGGTCCGATTACGAATTCACAGAAGGGACTGTGGTCTTTAAGCCGGGTGAGACCCAGAAGGAGATCAGAGTCGGCATCATCGACGATGACATCTTTGAGGAGGATGAGAATTTCCTCGTGCATCTCAGCAACGTCAAAGTGTCCGCCGAAGCTTCTGAGGACGGCATCCTGGAAGCCAATCACGTCTCCACGCTCGCCTGCCTTGGCTCCCCCTCCACGGCCACCGTGACTATCTTCGATGATGACCACGCGGGCATCTTCACTTTTGAGGAACCCGTGACTCACGTGAGCGAGAGCATTGGCATCATGGAGGTGAAAGTGTTGAGAACCTCTGGAGCTCGGGGGAATGTGATCGTTCCCTACAAGACCGTCGAAGGGAGCGCCAGAGGTGGAGGGGAAGACTTTGAAGACACCTGTGGAGAGCTCGAATTCCAGAACGATGAAATTGTGTAAGTCCTTTTTTATATATATATACATATACATTCACGTGTGTTGAGTGTATGCGGATGTGAGAATGCATGCATGTCCTTTTAAATTAAAGGGCATACGAGGAATGGGATAGTTACTACAACAGAACACTTTCAAATCTCAACCCTCACTCACTCATGTACCATCAGTATACTTTATACAGAGATCTTCATTTGGATCACATAATGTGCACCCAGTAAGGGGGTATTTAAATCATCACATCAGGTCCCTGACTTCATTACTGAGTACTAATTGGGAAAATCCAAAGAAGAGATCCCTCGGAAAAAAATTTCCTGGCTACCAGGGTTGTCTGGAACAATTTGTGTTGCTTTCTCCTGACACTGCGGTTTTGTGACAATGTAAGATGATCTTTTGCTTAAATGTTAAGACTTAATTATAACTTAATGACCAATCCTGCTTTTTCAGTGTTATGCCAACATGGGAAAACTCATACAGCTCTTATTTCCTTCCAGTCTCATTTGACTTTGCATGCTGAAACAAACCCTTTACCCTACTGACATAGTGATGGGGAGAGAAATATGTTTCTATCCAAGCATCCTAATTGACAGGGCGCAGGTCAGAGGAGTGGACAGCAATTTAGTCTTCCTTTTGCCACTTTACAGTGACATTTGCCAACATTGTAATATGGAGTGCCCTGAATTTTCCGCTAACAGTTGCTATTGAGAGAGCTATTCCCCCTTCCTTGCCTAGGAGGGGGCATCACACTCATCAAAAGCAAACCAGAACATTTGACTTCACGAGCAATGTCCAAACTGGAAAGAATGAAGAAAGGAAACTATGTGTAATAGATTCGATGCAGCAAAGGACAATAATAGGAATTATATTGGTTGAGTCATTGCCAACTTAGAAATTTCAGGGAAAAATGATAAAATAGTTTGTTCTATAGATCAAGCACATCATACTTGCGGCCCACAGGCCACATGCGGCCTAAAAGGAATATTTTTGTGGCCCAGCCAATATACTGCTATGAGCAGTTATTTACAATTATGAAAGGAAATGTGTCTCCTGTCAGGTCCAGAATGACACATTCACCTTGGGTCAGTTTGGAAAGTAATCACTGTGAACCAGATTTCCCCCGAAGGAGGAAAGATAGCAGCAGAGAAGAATTGCCTCGTGTCAGGAAGAAAACATTAATTTTATCATTGCTCTTGTTCTTTCTTTATATACTATACTTTTCAAAATAATCCTACATTTCTATGAAAATCGAAGCTTTCATTTTCTTGTGGCCCACATAAACTGTTTATTTGGCCCATGTCAGCCCTTGAGTTTGACATGCTTGCTATAGATGGTTAACTTGTGTAAATGGCATCTATCAATATATGTCCAATGGCAGGTACATGCTTTCCAAGTTGAAATTCCTCCTGCTATAAGTATAGAGAAAACAGACATAGAAGTGTGTATGTGTCGGGGCTGAGGGAGAGGGGTAGTGGGCAGAGGGAGCAGATACTTTTGAGCCTTCCAATGTCTTTGACAATGTATTACATACATGAGCAATTATTAGTGTGATATCTCAATGAATTCAAGCAAAACAGCGATTACAATATCTATCTTGGGATGCATGTGGTGGATTTGCTTTTGATGATTCTCTGTTTTATGTTGGTTATTCTAATGCTAACGTTTCACTTAGTAGGATGTATTCTGTTAGGACAGTTGCTTCATTAAAAGGTAGTAGTAAATAGTGTAGTGCCAAATAAATAGCCAGGAAGGATTTTCCCAAAGGCCTTGTGTTGAATGCGATCCTGCCCAGGTTAGCATACAAGCACAAGCTCTATTCCTTTGCTAGGAATTCTTTCTCATTATACTTTCTAATCATTTCAGTTATTGAATTCTCCTGTAATAGATAGCACTTTGTAGGCCATGTAAAAGGGTATTACTTATTGTTAAAGGAGTATTGCCTGTTACTAAATGAACTCACAAGGGTAGCCCTTACATATGTCCAGATTGGTATTTTGTTTTGTTTATTCATTTTACTTAGAATGTTTTCTCATGAAAAATTGGTCTTGCTTTCTCTTAATAATGGCTCTGTACTTGTTTATGTGAGAGGCTTGTCTTATCTACTCTGCTATCCAGGACTTTTACCAAACCATAAATAAATAACCTTCTTTTGGGCACAGTTTAGAATCAGAAGGGGGGTGGGGAGACTGAGTGATTGATGGAATCATTTTCTATTCTGCCAGCTCCATGTAAAACTCTCACTCTGCGCCATTAAACTGATTGAATTCTTGCAAAGGAAAGAGTATTGCCAAACTCCAGCTTTAGAAATTTATATATCTTGTGAAAAGTGGTAAGAATTGGAATTATCAGTATGGCATCTCTGTATACATGATCTTAGGACTATTCTAGACCAATCACTAGTTCCTAGTTTTAAAATCTCTTACTGAATTTTATTCCCTAAGTGGAAGTATTAGCTTACAGAATTGGCAAAATATTTTTATTTGTAAGTGGAATAAAATTGCATTCCTATATATTTTTCTTTTTTTTTTTTTTGGAGTTTTTATTTTTACCTTATAGAGGTTTTTTTTTAAAAAAATATATATTTTATTGATTTTTTACAGAGAGGAAGAGAGAGGGATAGAGAGTTAGAAACACCAATGAAAGAGAATCATTGATCAGCTGCCTCTTGCATACTCCTTACTGGGGATGTGCCCACAACCAAGGTACATGCCCTTGACTGGAATCGAACCTGGGACCTTTCAGTCCACAGGCTGACGCTCTATCCACTGAGCCAAACTGGTTTTGGCTACCTATAGAGTTTTATGACTGATCTTAATAGGTCTGTTGTTTAAATACATTTGTTTGGATGAGTAAGACTGAGCCTTAAAATAGGTGGCAAGGATTATCAGTGGTCCCTCACTGTATACTTAAAAAAAAATTATATATAACACCAAGGTACTTGCCATTGACTGGAATCAAACCTGGGATCCTTCAGTCCTCAGGCCAACGCTCTATCCACTGAGCCAAACAAGCTATGGCTATATACTTTTTATGGATCTTTTATTTCTGGTAGTTGCTTCCAATGTCAGGTCCACACAGTCATATCCAAATGAGAGAGTTTTGTCCTCATACAGTGGAATTGAACTACTTAAAGTCAATGCTGTTTATCTTCAAGAATGAATTCTTATCTCCTCGAATTAATTACACAGTTACTCTCAAAAGATTACTTTCTTAAAAACCTACAATGCATAAAGAGGACTGTGGACACCACTGAGTTTCATTAAATACTTCAAAAAATTTTGTTTGATTGTTTAATGCTAAGCCCAAAGCCAGAACTTAACGATCCTTTCCGGAGTACCATAGCATGATTCCTGGAAATGTCTGGATTTAAAGGCTATCTAATTTTAAGAAGCCATTAACCAAGACAGAAATAGGATCCAGTCTAATCAGGAATGGAGATAAAGAGGCAGCCAGCTTTATTGAATCTTGAGTTTTAGGAACATAATAGATTCCTAATCTTTGATCTTATTTTTAGTACAGAAATCATTTAAATTTATAAGTATGTCTATGCCTATTAATTTGTTTTTATATAAATGAGTTGAATTATTTCAGTCTGATCTTTTTAAGATCAAAGTCTATATTTGAGAAAAATACTGATAAGTGATAAGTGGTGCTTGTGGTCTCTACTAAAATGTATTCTTGGCAAAACATTTTAAAATTATAATGGAAAAACCCATTAAATAGTTATAATTAGCAGCACATGCATTTGTATAAACTCAAGCAATGACAAATACTAAACTCATGCCAGCTAACCTTGACTTTCAACAGGGAATTCTGTCTAATGTTAAGAGCTAATAAAAAATAAATAAATGAAGACTATGCTAATTTGGTTTGTGGTTTTGTAGGTGATCTCCACAAAGTTGGCATGCTACTATGGTTGTTCTTTAATGATGCTATTTTAGTGGTAATAATTATTGTAAAATGTTGCTTTGTCTTCCAGTATCTAACTTAGCTTCACTATTGCAGAAAGTGTTTAGGTTAATTAATTAATATAGAGACAAATCAGATTTAATTATAGTACTTAGCTATGGCTCAGCATTAATATCATATTTAGAAAACAACACAAAAAGATCATCAGCATTTAATATTATATATTTTAAATGTAGAGTTGAAAAACAAAGTATTTATATAATATATTGCTTAGCAAATCAGTTTACTGGGCATTTCAGACACAGCATATTCATTATGCAATGGCTTTGTCCCAAATTAAGTTGAACAACTATTACATTTTCAAGTATTATTATAACTTCATTAACTAGGAAATAAAATGCACAGGACAACTAATATATCTTCTTGACACTAAACATTTACATTTTGGGGGGAAAAAGCATGAAATAAAATTTCATTATTATATCAATTTTATGAAATTATTATTATTATTATATTCCAGGGAAATTAAATATTTTTATTTTGCTGTTTATATTATCAGTATCCTTTTTCTTTATAGAATTTGAAGGAATAAACACCTCGCTATTGGAGAGAGTAATTCAATTCTGAAAGTAGCCAAATATGTAAAACAAGAAGGCAGCCAGATGAAAAAAAAAAAAAAAAAAAAAAAGAAAGAAAGAAAAATAAATATATTAAGAAAATTTGAAGTGATCAGAAGAATAAATATGCATGTTTAGGGAATCAGAGATGATGAAAAATACTAGAGAAAATAACCTTAGACAAGAAAGGCTATTAGCACATATTATCTTGAGTCCAACACAGTGAATATTCACTTTATGGCAGAAGAACTTAATCAACTACTTTACCTTCTTAACTAAAGTAAAAAAATAAATATTTTACATTGACATAAAACTTTACTGGGTAATATGCTAATTAAGAAATTTACCTGGAATAATTCTAGGACTTTAATGGATTTTTCGGATTATCTTTTCAGACTGAAATATTGCTTCTTAGAATCAAACCACTGGTAGTATTATCTGCAAATCTAAATTATAACTACAAGAAATGTTTTTGGAGA